GCTAATGATTCCTTGATCAGCTTGGCTCAAATAACTACACGTATATGTATGAATATTATGTTATATATAAAGGCGATGTGAAGTGTCAATAAGCTTACCAAGATCCGACTCCATCGCAGCCGTCAATGATGTTCCATCCTTGACAGGGGATCACTTGCCATCCCTTGGAACCCTGCTTATTCGTCACCGCATGGCGAACCTGTAGTTCCAGATTCGTTAAGCGGCGAAAATAGGTCTCTGAACGTCATCGACTGCGCACAAACCTCGAGATCCATTTCGATTTTGTCGACGGGCAGATCTTCGGATACGTCCATGGTCACGTTGAAGAAGATCGGACCCGGAAATCGTGGATAGTCGGGCCAAATGACGATGTTCGATACGTTCACCACGTAATTTGTCCACTGAAATCAGCAGTCACCTGTTAAATCATTCCAAAAAACGGCCCTCAACATTCAATAAGTGCCCAATGATACCGTAAATACTATAAGAAATATGAGCTAGCATAACAACCTTGACCCAAATACCATCCATAACCTGCTTAGAAACCCGCTCCACCCTTTGTTGTAACCCAAGCCGGCCAAGTAGTGCAGAACTTACTTGCTCGCTGGCACATCTGCTGAATTGCCATCCTCGAATGACCACTCCATGCGGTCCTGTCTGGTACTTTTCCCAGAAGGGTTGCACTCCTGGCAACGCCTCATTCCATGCTTTGGTCAGAGGTGACTGACCCAAGGCCAACGGAACAAGAGCGGCGAGGAGCACGAGCATCCTGAAACGATTTGGATTCAGTCGAAGGCGCGCGTAGATGTTAGTGATTCTGGCGAAATGAAACGCGGATGACAATGCTAGCGGCGAATGAGTAGTGACCAGGATATAGAGCATTGGACATTCAGTGGAAACAAGACCGGCTCGTCACTGATCGTCCAGAAGTGGGCTAGCAGTCGCCCGCAGCAAGTGTCCATCCGACGGAGTGGTTAGTGGGCGATAAAGTGGGAGAACTTGATTCCTAAGTGACTTGGAACAAGTTCGCATTTATTGTGAAAGCGATCAGTACGTTCAGTTCTTATAAGATCGCCACGATGAGGGCAGGTTCTAGGATTGACAAGGCCGCGCCGCACTTAGGAGGAGGATGACCATCTCCACCAGCGCCCAGCGATGTTGTCTGCCATGTTTGATAATACGATTGTGAAGGGATAGGCTGTTGGTAGTTCGTGGATCGGTGTCGGTTGTTGGAAAGAGGTTTCGCTGACGGGCATGATTGGTGTAACCCAGAAAAAGAGATGACGGCGACGCATGACCTTTGCCTTTTGCGAAATCACTGCGTACTACCTTGATCCCACAAACGCTTGGAAACGGTCGAGAACCGGGAAATTGCCCACTTTTGAATGGGTTACCAAGCTTTTTAAACCCCTTAGTTGTTAGCATTAGGGGCTTAGCTGTTCCAGAGATCGAATACCTATGTTTTCCTCTTGGCAAAACATCCTAGAACAAGCAGTTAGAGTGAATAAGATCCGCTCAAGGATGCGCCATGCATTCTACTTCCGTTCGGGATCATAGTAGAGCTTGAACATGTTTTGCCCATCACACCGATTGCGGAGACCATCCGATGTTAAAACGAGTGATTAGAGTACTGTCCTCCCAGATGAGTTCGGTACCAGGACAAATCGACTTTGAACGGCAGGGAAGTTTAGCTTGCTTAGGTGCTACTCGGGCGGAAGTGGTGTAGTGGCAAGTGGCACGCTTACCACGCGAGCGGTCCGGGGATCAAATCCTGGGTCGTGAGTCGCCCGGGCCAACCAAGCCTTCCATCCCTCCGGGTCGGGTTATTGGTACCAGACTTGTCTGGGAGGATAAAAACACTGACTTGTACATCGGCTGGCCCCGCAAGTCATTGTATAGGCCACATCGCATTCAAACGCCACTACGAATGTACAAATGGAAGTAGAATGCGTGCCGCATCCCAAAAAGGGATTGATCAACGGCAAATGCTTTATCTTTATGCTTTAGGTGCTACTCAATCCCCCGATGTAGAGAAGAGTTAGTATTTCCATCATCCTAGAATCGGATTCGGGATCATCCCGGAACAAACAGCTCACCCTCCAAAATTCTGTGTTTCCCGTCCAGGATCTCAAAAACTGAGGAGTAATAGTTTCTCGAGGCTGGAGAATCCCCTCAAGCCCACGTTTCTGACGGATGAGACCTTCCAGGGGATGTTTGCGATTGGCGCAGTAGCAAAAAACAACGGATGAATGATGATAATCCGTCGCTCCGAATCAAAGGAAGCCCCAAGGAGATGAGAATCTCGTAGGGATAATTGATATTCAATGATAATAAACATTTTTGGAGGTTAAAATGAAATGAAAGATCTGCTGTTTGAGAAATGCGAAAGTAACGGGATGCTAAAAGTTTCAAACAAAGAACGAAAACAGTAGCCGGATAGGATAGAAAGGGAGGATAATTGGGTCAACGGGGCCGAGATATTCAGTGGAGATGCATCGATTGGGTAGAATAAAGACGATATATAATTGCTCGGCGTCCCCGTTAGCGAACGACGACAGTTAGGGGTGGGCGGCGACGACTGTAATGGTAGATGTTGTGGGATTTGGCGAGGAATCAGACGCGAGGAAGATATCGTCATAGTTATCGGATGAAATCGAAAACTGATACACGCCGAGGGTATCGTCGGGATCGTTTCATGAAAGGTAGCCAGCTGTTCAGTAAATGGTAAAAATTGGGAGAAAACAAAGAAGAATAGGTGATTTGAGATAGGAAAGACGAGTTCCTGATGACATATTTGGCTGGGTGAAGGTCGAGTCGGGGATAATGGAGTGGGTGGAACCGATCACTAGACCGTCGTTGCAGCAACTTGACCGGATCCATTCGGATTTTCCAGGTTGCCTAAGCTTTCCAGCAATGCAATCGTATTTGGAAGGAAGACATCACCAGTTTCTGATTCCTTTCTCTGAATCTAGTTCTCACCATGGAACTTCACCATTTCCAGGTTCGTTTGAGCATTTTCGGATATTGTTAGGCATTTTCCACAGCAGGGGAGTACGAGAATTTGCCTATGGCGCTTAGGTTCTCTACCTATTGGAAGTTGTGTTTGAACTTCGAAATGAGGCAATTTCGTTAGTGTTTTTTGGCATTTACACTAACAAATTAGTGCAGAATGAATGGAGCTAAACAGCTTTTTAGAGCGCTTTTTTC